CTGGAAATTCCTGCCCAACTAATCATAGCTACAAGAGAAATAACAGCTATGGTCACAGTCACAGGGCCGGACATCAGCACCACTGTGACTGGAATCACGAGGCCTGGTGTGAGAGGCAGCACAGAATCCAAGCCAGTACTATTCAAGGTGCTGTCTACAGCGGAGTCCACCTCAGGGCTGTCGGTGTGAAGGCTGATGCTGTGCCCCACGTGTCACACTCATGACCCTGGTTTTACCAACACGATGCTGTGAACACGGAGTCAGAACAGAAGAGTCATGTGTCTGGGGGGAGTACGTGTGTGTCAGAGAGAGAGAGAGGCTGAGACCTCACACGCCCATAGTGAAAGAGATCTGACTCAAATTCCCTTGGACTCACATTCAGATTCTACATCCACCATTCTTTAAGACCTCGACCATGATGCTTAGTAACAGTTAACGCCTGCTGTCATGTCACTGTGTGTTGTGTTGACTCATTTAGTCTCAATGTTGTAAGGCAGGTACAATTCTTACCCCCTTCAGATAATCACACTGAGGCACACAGACACAGAGGCCAGTAATTTCTCCTAGGTCACACAGACAAAAACAGCAGAGTACATACTGAAATCCAGGCAGCTTGACCCAAAAGCCTATGTGCTGAGCCTCCTCGGTCCCAGGTATGGCTGGCAACAGTACGTCAAGAACAATCTGCACCAAAGGATGGAGAGGGGGAATTGAGAAAATTCAACCCTGCAGTGTGTGAAGACCAGAATCCAGGGAGTGGGCACATGGATGTTCACTGTGAAACCTGTAACTGTTCAGTATGCTTGAATACTTTCATAATGAAACATTGGGGAAGAATGGCCTTGGGGATCTGCACCGATGTATGTGCTGACCAAGCTTACTGTCATGCAGTAAGCAGATAATGCTGGAGATTTAAATGAGGCATTTAGGACCGGCAGGTTTGTATACCATTTTGCATAAAATAGGTATTTTGTCACTGTACAAAGCACTCAGTATTGTGTTGTTGAAACTTGATATTTAATAAATGACAGCTCTTAGTCAGTTGTGGTGGCTCACACCTATAATCCTAGTTATTCAGGTGGTGGAGATCAGGAAATGGCAGTTTGAGGCCAGTTGGACAAAAAGTTAGCAACACCCCATCTCAACTCATAAAACCTGGGTGTGGTTGTGTACACCTGTCATCCCAGCTATATAAGAAGCAAAAAATAAGAAGATCACAGTCCAGCCCAGCTTGAGCATAAATGTTGAGAACCTTCCTGAAAAATAACTAAAGCAAAAAGGGCTGGGGGTGCTGGTTCAAGTGGTACTGGCAAGTGTACAAGACTCCAAGTTCAAGATAAAGATAATATAATGAATGATAGCTCTTTGTACCACTGAGGCTCAAAATCACCAATTATTCATCAGCATCACTCTACTAAGCTTCCAGTGTACAACCAACATATTGGGGTCTTTTGGGGTCTTCAGAAAAAAGACTGAGCCCCCATTTGGGACACTGGCTGGTGTGGGACACACAACATCCTATTTGGAAAGTAAGAGTGTTGGGGTCAATTCAGAATGAAAAGTGTTTCAGGCATACATTTTAAACTAAAGGCTGACAAAACCTTTTATCATACTATGGAAAAAGTGCACAGAGGTAACAATTTATAAGCTTGTATTTTACAAAATAAAAGGCCGTCAATATTGTTGTAGCTACTTAAACGCTCCTCTCTGTGAAAACAAACCTAAAGGGAACTAACTGCAGAGAAGAAACCTAGTAATAATCTTAGTAATAATCGTCCTTTAGCCCTGGGCTGTGCTCACCCAGTTTAGGGCTCTCTCAGGAGTTCATGAATTCTATGACAAACTACTTCTCTCTCCTCTCCCCTCCCACCATCTCCTCCCCCTCCCCTCCCCCTCCCCTCCCCCTCCCCCTCTCCTTCTCCTTTTCTCTCCCCGCCCCCTTCCTCCCTCTCTCTCTTTCTCTGGGTGGTGCCAGCCATCGTAAAGCTTTTTCCTGTTAACAGAGACCAGGCCTCCAGCTCAGAGTCTTGACCAGCTTACTGACGCTGGGACTGTACCCAGGTTATTTTATTTTTCTTTCTATCTTATTTTTACAAGTGCCTGCTATTTATGATAACTGATACTGTTGTTCCCATAGTGACATAAAGTCATTACGCTTTTAGGTAAAAAAGATGGACCGTTCAAAGAATGACAGGTCAACAGCATACAGGCAGTATAACGGAAAAGGTAATGCGGAGCGAATGGCAAATGACCGAGAAACAATGAAACTGCTCCAAAGTCACTGCTGCACAGAGGACAGGACTGGGCCCAGCGTCTTCTGAGTTCCCACAGTTCATTCTGGGGCCTTGAGTAGGGCACCGCTGCAGATGCTCTGTCCCAGCTTACCCAGGGCTGTTGACACTCACTTGGCTTCTGCCTCCACCCTCACGCTGAAGTGAGGCGTGGCGCAGGATGAGTGATGGGGCGGCAGGAGGAAGGATGTGCCTCCTGCCCATCCCCCTGTCCTATGCCTCGCACCCTGTGCACATCTCCGGTGGCGGCACCTCTGCCCCCTCACCACACTCAAAACATCCATTCAGGCCCTGCGGTCACTTGTGCCTCTCAGCTGGCTGTGTCTCCAGCTGCCTGTGCCCAGACCTGCTCAGCCTGGGGCTGGGATTTTTCTCCCCCTGTGCTCCCCCAGTCTCACACAGGAAGTGGAAGAAAGCTTTCCTTCCCGACTGGTACCAAAGAGGATACGTTCTCACACTGGACAGGGACATTCAGCCCAGTTAGTGCGGCCCTCGGCGAAAGAGTGTCAGAGTGGCCCACTTCTGAGGTTCAGAGCCTGATGGTTCAGGACACTACGCCAGGGTCCCAGCCCACAGCTCTGAAGGTGGGCTAAGGAGGGGAAAGGTGCAGGAAAGGAAAAGGTCCAGGTGCAGTAGATGTTACACCTTCTTGGATATTTTATTCCCTTACTGCAGTGTTCCTCTGGATGATGAGGCCTTTTCTTTGAAAAAAAATATTGGGGACAAAGTATACAACAAGGCAACAGGACCTTTGCATGTGGCCAAGTAGCCTGAGCACTGCAACCCCAAGGGGCACAACCAGACCTGGCATCCCTTACCATAATTCCCTGCAAATTCCCAGACCAGGAGTCAAGAAGTGTGAGTCCTAACTTAGAGTCCCCACGAACCTGCTGTGAGACATTAGGTGAGTCTCTTTCCCTCCCTGGCCCTCTGTTCCTCCTCTGTAACTGTACGGAATGGCGTCTGAAGTTCCCCTCAGCAAAAAAATTGTGTGATGTCACAGAAGCAGATATCCCATAAGAGGTGAGGGTTTGGACCAAATCCTCTGAGGTCCTGCCCAGTGTGGAGAGTCTGTTGTTTCAAAGCTTGGTCCTATTTTCATTAGCGCCAGAAGACACGCTGCTAGGCTGAGCCATACCAAACCCTCAGACAGTGATTAATGCAGTGAACCACCAGCTCTGCCTCTCTACCTCTTATGGTACATGCACAAGCCCACATTCTCTAAATTAAACCTAGTCCCAAAAGGGCCAGGCGTGGCAACTCAGATCTGTAATCCCAGCTACTTAGGAGGATCATAGGTGGAGGGTCCAAGGCCAGCCCCAGCAAAAAAGTCATCGAGAGCTCATCTCAACCAACAAGCCAGGTATGGTGGAGTGGCTGTGGTCCCAGCTACTGGGAGGCTAGATAAGAGGATGTGTCTGAGGCCAGCCCTGGGCAAACACAAGAACCTATCTGAAAAGATATCTGAAAAGGACTGGGGGTGTGGCTCAAGTGGTAGAGCATCTGCCCCAGGACTTCAAGAAAACAAAGAAACAAAAACAGGGTCCCTCGTGCAGGGTTGGTGTTGACCTTTACTCTAGCAAACAAATCTTTCCATCCTAGAAAGAACCCATGAATCGCCTTAGTTCGGCTTGGGGGAACCCATGAATCGCCTTAGTTCGGCTTGGGGGAACCCATGAATCGCCTTAGTTCGACTTGGGGTAAGAAGAAGAGGGAACTAGGGTAGGGAACCACAGAAAGTACTCCAGAAGCCAGCCAATGTTCTGAGCATCCCACTTCTGTTCCTGGCTAACTGCAGTGCTCCCTGTCTCTTCTTTCCTGTGGCTCCTGGGGGCTCCTAGCTGCCACAGCTGTGCGGGAAGGGTCAGTTTACATCCCACACACAGGGCAGGAATCTGAGGGCTCCCTTTCAAGTCACAGCCATGCTGCCCATGGTGAGATTTTATCAGGTGCCCAGAGTGTGACTGGCTGGGGGTGGGTTACTTGGCCTCACGGCTACATCCAGGCACAGGGACAGGAAAACCTGGTGACTGCACCTGGGAAGGTGGATAAAACCCATCCCCAGCGTCTGGGAAGGGGGAGGTCAGAAAAGCCCCTCTTGTGCAATAACGTCAGTTTCACTCTTACTTCCAAAGTAACTCAGTCCAACAAAAAAAAAAAAATCAGCTCAGATGTATTTCTTAAAGACTTTCATTCAGATTTAGCTCAGGGCACTGCTAGCTCTTTAAACAATTTAAATAAATTGCCTTTTTTTGTCCCCTGTTGAATGCCATTTATATTTACACAATAAAAAGGTATCAATCTCAGTTTAGGGTATTTTCCTGATGGTGAAAGATATTTAGTTTGGCAAGATTCCATAACCTTCTCTTACTCACTTCCCCACAGGGGAGAAGCAAAGCCATCTATCTACCTAGGACATGAGAGATGCCTTCCACATAATCACGATTGTGCCAAATTTGGCATTTTTAATACTGCTTTCATGTAGAAAATCTACTCTGGTCTTCCCAAACCCAGCTGTGAGGTAGCATGGGACCCATTTCATGGAAGTAACTGAGGCTCAGAGGGGCAAAGCCACTTACCCCAAGTCACACAGCTAGAAAGAAACAGAGCCTGAGGCTAAAAGGCAAGCCCATTCTGTCCCCTCCCCTCTGCCTAAGCTGCTGCGAGACAGTGACATCCGCCACGCAAGGAAGTATGGTTTCACGGTACCTCTCTGCTTCCTGGTCTGCGCTCTGCTGCTTGCTCTCAAAGGCACTGAAGCTGCTCATGTCCACATAGCCGTCGTTCTCGTTGGCGGTGGACAGGGCTCTGCTCTGCTCTTCAAACAGCTTGGTGAACGTGCTGGCCCTCGCAGGCCTCCGCGGTGGGATCTGGATGTTTTCATAGTCCGAGCTCATGGCCGGAATGTTCTCATAGTCTGAGGTGTCCGCATTGGGGAATGAAATGGACCGCGGCTTGGTGAGCGGCAAGGGCAGGAACGGTGGCCTGGAGCGGTCCTCGAACGACTCCACCCTGGACACCGTCCTGCTGAAGGGGACACCTTTCCTCTTGCCATCTCTGTAGAAGATGAGGGACGATGGGGATTCACAGGCCCGGAGCTTCCCAGCCCGAGTCTTGAGCTGGGGAGAGTTACTGAGGCTCCTCCGGTCGAGTTCCAAGATCCTGGCCGGCCCGTGGTAGCTGGACTCGGACGAGGACCTGGAGGAAGACATGTTAACGTCCACGTGCACCTTGTTCTCTGTCTTCTTTTTAAATGTCAGTGCCAGGAACCGCTTGAAGGAAGACTTCTTCTTCTTGGTGCCCTTGTCTGGGGAGTCGCTCTCGATGAGGAGTGAGGGGCTGCTCTTGGTGATGGGCTTTTTGGTGATGCAGGCCAGGTCAAAAGGAGGTGGGATGTCCACCATGGAGGACGGGGTCGAGGTGCCGCTGGACGGAAGGTGGTTCCTCTGGGAGAAGCTCCCAGAGGAGCCGATCACACAGGGCAGAGAAAGGTTGTCCTCCTTCCTCTTGATCCTCTGGTCCTCCGCCCCAGCTCCCTCCGGCTCCCGGTACACGGACACTGGGATCTCTCGGCCTTCCACAGAGAATGACCGAGGGTACAAAGAAAAGGCTCTGGGCTTTGCCGACAGGGCCCGGCTGACTTCTAGGGGTTTTGCCTCTAATGATGCCGTCTTTCTTACCTCCTCGGTGGCAGCTCCGATGCCCACAGCTGACGAACCACCTTCTGGTCCAGTTTCTTCTGGGACAGTTTCTGGGACGTAGCCAGCCACCTTCCCAGAGTGTGGCCGGGTCCTTGTGACGATGTTCTTCCGGTCCACGGAGAGCAGGCCACACTCAGCATCGGAACCCTCTTCTCCTTTCACATCGTACACGCTCATGGCGTCAGATGCAGCCTGGGGCTCACTCACCCCTCCCTCTCCAGGGGCAGCCTGGCACATAAGGTCAACCCCTATCACGTAGGGGTTGCTCAGCGAGTCATCTGCAGTGTCCTCCAGCATGACCACAGAGGATTCCTCCCCAGCTCCACCCTGCAGAGCATCGTGCTGGCCACGTGAAGGTCCAGTGTCTGGGATCTCCTCCGTACAGACCCCAGGGGTGGACAACTGCTCTGAGTCTAAGCCTTTTGCCAACTCAGAAAGAGAATAGCTCTCACTACAAAAAGAGGTGCTCTCAGTGGGGAAGAACTCGTAGGGACTTCCCGTGAACGAAGTCACAAAGTCCTCCATACTGTCACTCTCAAAGGGGATGATTTGGAAGCCCTCCTCAGTGGAGTCATCCTGCATGGGGCCTTCACCTCCTCGAGGGTCTCTCATCTCCTGAGTGGCTGCTGCCACATTTCCTTGGTCTGTATCCTCACTGTGGTCAGCTGGTTCCTCCTGGTCAACCTGGTCCCCACTGTCTGTAGCATCCTCACGGTCCTCCTTGGAGATTTCAAGGTTAGCTGTGGCTGTTTCTGGTTCCTGGGCACCAGTGAGCAGCTCCTCATTATCAGTGGGTTCCTTGCTGGCCTCTTCCACATCATGTTCCATGTCCTGGGTGGGCCCGTCAGGTTCCCCAGGCTCTGTGTCCATACAGCCTTCCTCACCGTCCTTCTCCTCCTCCTCTTCCTCTCTGGGATTCTCAGGGGACGCTGGCTCCTGACAGGGGGCTTCGGGAGCCTCTGAGTCGATGTGAGTTAGGATGACATCACTCTGAAAGGCCTCCTCTCTGTCCTCCAAGTTGTACACGTTGTGTTCTTTCACCAGCTCCTCCTCTTCCTCACTTGTAGACACCCGCTCCTCTGTTCCGGCATGGTTAATGCAGTCTTCCTCGAGTTCAGGAGTGTGACTGGTGCCATCCTCCTCCTCTGTGCCCACTGCCTCTCCAGCTGAGGCAGCTGGGGATCTTGGGTCACCATCAGCTCCCATCTCCTCTGCACCACTCTCTTGGCCTCCCTCCTCACGCTGCTCCTCCTCAGTGGTATCCTGGAGCACCAAAGCCACGTTCTCTGCACCGTCCCCATCTGTGGGTGCATCTTCTCTGGGCGGCTCCCTGGGGACCACGATGTACTCCTCATCTGTCTCCGACTCGGAGTACTCCAGGGCAGACCGCTGCCCTCCGTGCAGCTCCCTGTCCACACACAGCAGCCTCCCGTTGCCACACTTATGGAGGCTGTTGTTTACATAGATGCTGGCTCTGCACTCGCTGGGGGTGGCCAGCTTGGGCTTGGGGGCGATGGGGGGCTTTGGCCCCCTGGACATGGAGTTGGGACTGGGTAGACTCTCCAGCCTGGGTGAGGTAGGGAACTTAGGTATGGTCACTGGCGTGAGTGGACCGGCAGTCTTTGGCTTGGGAGCAACTGGTGGTTTAGGTGAGTCTAAAGGATGAAAGAGGAAAAGAAGAGAAACACACAGTTAACTTCGTTTACGTCCACAATGTCCTCCAGATCATTTTCAAGGAGAGACCCCAAACCACGTGAACCCCAGGAACTCACTCAGCCTCCCACAAATCAGTCACCAGAAACAAAGCAAACAGAGCTTTCTTCCAGATGCAGTCCAGACTTGCAGTATTTCCCACATACCATGAGTTTACGCAGCAACAACGGATATTCAGAGCTTACTAATGAGGAATAGCTGGTGTCCTTCCACGCTAAGTCCTCGAAACCCAATGCGTGTAGGACTGGCAGGCCCAGCTCTGCCTTTTGATGTCTCTAGGGAACCGTCCCAATGGCACCCAATGGCAGTGTCTGAAGCCAAAGTCAAGATCATCTCTCCCAAACTGGCTGAGGCCCCAGAGGAAATAAAAGAGGGCAGAACAGCAATAACACAGGACAGCACAGGCCGGGCACCTGGCCCCAACAGGGGCCTACCCTGTGCGGGGCGTCTGCACTTGCACTTGCACTGTGCACACATGTCCAGCGGACACAGATGTCTGCGGCCACCGAATGTGCTAACTGCACACAGCGCAGGGAGGCGGTTAGAGCAGAAACCCTGCGAGTTGTAAGATGCAAGAGAGTAAAGAGCCACAACTTCAAAGCCTTTCAAGGTCCCCTAACCTATCCCTATGGTGAACACCAGGCCAGATGCTGATAAGAATCCACTCTTCAAGAGATAAGTGGATTTCCAGCTGTTTTTGTAAGCAATCCAGCATGTCCGAGTTTAGAAAAATCTCTCCCTACTAGTGAAAGAGCACAAATTTGGAGTTTAAAAGGAAAGCTTCAGCTACCAGTCAGTGTGGGGTAACACAGCAAGCCTTTGGAGCCTGGCCGATCTGGGTTCAAATTCTGTCTTTGCCATTATAAGCTATGGAGCTGAGCTTGATTTTCCTCATCTGTAAAGTGGATTCAGCTACTACCCTTAGAGGGCTGTTGTGACAAATAAAGGACATGCATTAAAAGTGCCCTGTAGTGGGACTTCACACAGGAATAGCTGCTCAATGTTCAGCAGCTACAACTGTTCAGATAAAGTCCATCTTTGCATGCCTCACAGCTCCCGAGTGTAAGTCCTGCTGTGCACTGATGTACTGCACAATGCTAGCTTCAGGTTCTCAACCTGAAGTGTTTCAGGTGTCAGGTGTTGGCACAAAACTATTCTTCGGGGGGGGGACTCTCATTTCTCATCCTTAACAGGTGGCATTTTACACGGGCGCCAGAAGACGTGACTGAGGGATAGAGAGGCCATGAAAAATGACCGTCACCCTGTCTGTATCGCCCCCACCCCCACCCCATCCTTCATCCAATCAAGCTATTGATCTGTGGGCACCGTCTCCTCAGGAAAGGTTATGTTGGGTGTCTGAGGCGTGATCCTGCAAGAAAATGCCGTTCCCGCAGGGGCCCAGGAATGACAAGTACTCGGTGTCCAGCGCTGAAGCCCACAGTGCTTCCCCTGGGTCCCCACTGACATCAAGGGAGGCCAGCATCAGACCCACACTGAAAGCTAGGGAAACTGAGGCACAGAGAAGTGCCTGGGAACAACCTGGGCTTCCTGCTTCCTGGTCCAGTCACCTAACCCTCTGCGTTCACTTTTTGCCATTGTGTTTCCTCTACGGTGGAGACTCAGGGGGCCCAGCATCTAGTGAGGCAGAGAAGGGTAAAAGGCAGGTAAACCGAGGCAGAGAAATCAGGGACAGTTACCTAGGTGAGAAATTTATAGAAAGCTGGTCCAGAGCTCAGAAGTATTGACCATAAGGTGAGTAACTAGCTTTAAATGGTTCCCGTTCAGTATTCTTTAGTCTAGTTCTAATAAATAAATATTTGCTGAGCACCTGTATATTCCAGGCCCTCATTCGGAGTCTGTGGACACATAAACAAATGAAATAAAGATATTTCCCTTGGAGATCTTATATGGATAGCTGGTGGGAGGTAAGAAAGAAAAGGGTAAGTAAATTACATATCATCACTGGGCACAGTGGCTCACACCTGTAATCCTAGCTGCTAGGGAGATGGAGATCAGGAGGATGGAGGTTTGAGACCAGTTCAGGCAAAAAGTTCTCGAGGTCCCCTCTCAAGCAATGAAAAGCTGAGTGTGATGGTACATGCCTGTAATCCCAGCTATGCGGGAAGCACAAATAGGAAGACTGTGGTCCAGGCTGGCCAGGACAAGACCGCAAAAATAACCAAAGATCTCAAAAATAACCAAAGCAAAAGTGGCAGAACACCCGCCTAGCAAGCACAAGGCCCCGAGGGAAAGCAGAATTTCAGCTTGCATAAGTGACCTATCCCACACCTTGGTGAAGACCTCAAGCAGCTCAGCCTGTGGAGGTGTCTGCTTGCAAGTGGCTACTGCAACGCAAGGTATGAGCATGGTAAGATCACCAAGAGAGCAAGGTGGACAAAGAGAGCTGCACCCAGGAGGGAGCCCTGGTGGCCTTAAACAGCTAACGACACTAAGGAGGGTACGTGAGTGTCCAGCTCTGCTCCCTCCTGCCCACTGTCCCCCTCACAAAAGGAGATGGAGCCCCTGTCCTCGGTATGAGGGGTTTAACGCTAAAGACAACTCTGGGAAGAGGTGGCACAAGGTCCCATACTGAAGGAAGGGGCTGGAGACAGCATTCCAGGTAGCGGGAACTACAAGTATGAAAGCCCAGTGACAGGTAAGTGCAAAGTCCTTGGGAACAGGGCACAGTGCAGCTAACCAGCCTGGGTAGGAGTGGGCTTCTGGGATAAATCAACCCTGGGCTTTGCTCCTCTGGGTTAAGCTTAACAGTCTGACTGCAGAACTCATGTGGACGTAGCTGCAGGACCTTCTGTGCTGCAGAGCTCCTCTGAAACCTTCCCTCTGCCTGGAGGGCACACTTTCCCCACCCTGAGTTATCAACACCCAGAATCCCTGGCAGTTCACTACTCAAGCAGAATAAACACCCTTTCAGCCAATATGCCCAGGGTGAACTAGAAGCTGGGGGAGCCACAAGGACAGAGGAAGAAAATTTTACAGCTTCTGGGGGTGACAGAAATCATCCAGTTTGTATTTTCCCTCTCCATTTTAATTAAATATCTGTCACTTCACACATTGAGCTTGCTGTTCCCTCACCAGCTATACAGAAGTCCCCTTAGATGGGCTATTGGGAGGAGCACAGACAGGGACTTAGGAGTCCTGGTTATTTTCCTGGCTCTGACACTACCAGGAGATGTGACCTTGAGCAAATTCCTTTGCCTCTCTGAGCCTCAATTTCCTCATCTGTAGAGGGAAGGGACTGGACCCAAACAGTCCACCTGCTCAAGCTGACCACAACCTTTTAAATTCATGGCTCTTCTTAGTATGTGCTGTGACACCCTGACTTCAGTGCCCGCATCTGCTCAGCTGCAGTTTGATGTAGTCCTCCTGGGGCCTCATAACCATATGTTGCAAGAGTAATTACCTTCCAATTTCTCCTTCCAACTGCATCTTAATTGAACTTTCATCCCTGGGTGCCTGCTGGAATGTCCAAGCCAAGCCCAGTGACTTCTAATTAGGCTGGTGGTAAGCTCGTGCAGTGACCCAGGACAGGGCACTTCCAGGGAACACAGTGTGAGACAGGGTGGGGAGAGCATGTGCCTGGGTTCAGAGAGACCTGGACTCCGATTCCAGTTCCATCACACATGGACTGTGAGATCCTGGGCACATCACTGTGCCTCTGGGAGGCTGTTTCTTTCTCAGTAAAATGGAAAAATGTCATTTTTCACAGAACTATTGAGAAGTTCAAAGGAACTAACAGAAATAAAATGCCCAACAAAGTCAACTGACAACCATTTCCTAAGCATTTACTATGTGTTAGGCTCTCAAGCTAGATACTCTGTGTTTCAGTCCTGTCTCAGCCCCTCAATTAAGTGGCCACAAAATCTCTGCACCTCAGTTCCCTCATCTGTAAAATGGGGTAACAACAGTACCCTTCTCATCAGGTTACTGTGAATACAACCAGAACCCTCAGGGCAGCGGCTGATCCACAGTAAGTACCTGGTGAACTTCAGCTAGCATTTACTGGTTGCTTATAACTGTACCTTCCAAGCTTGTTGTTAGTTAATAATGAGAACTTAGTGACAAAGATCTTATCCACGTTTTTTAGATAAAGAAACTGAGGCACAGAGAAACTAGGTGACCTGCTCAGTAACTAAGTACATGGTGGCTCTGAGACTCAGTTCTGTGGAGTCTGTCTGGGACCATGGAGCTGTGTGATCAGGAAATTCAGTGTCCACCAACCTTGTGTGAAGTGGCCAGCCTTGCCACTGAAAAGGGAACCAGCTCTATGCTGGAGACAAAGTACAGGATAGCAGAACCCAAGAGTGCCAACTGCCAAGATTTCCTGGGATCAAACCTGCCCGTAAGTTCTCTGGGACTCACTCCATCCCCTGGATTCTCAGAGAAGGGAGGGCTTGCCTGAGCCTCATGCAGGAAAACGTGGGGAAAATGGAAAGGCTCTCACCATTGTTACAGAGCGGTTTTATGAGGAGGGTAGGAAAGCACTAGCCTAGATCTGTGTAGGCTGTGCCAGGGTGGCAGGGGCCAGCTGGGTGCTGGGACCCTGCTCCTGCCCCCCAATTCTGTGATCCACACTCCCAAATTACTGGGGTGTGGACATACCCAAAGACCACAGGACCTGGCCACAGGGAGGTGGCTGCCTTTCTCCCCAGTCCTTTGTCAGATCAGTCCAGCCCTAGTCTCCTGCCGCACCTCACTCCCAAGACAATGACTGTTTTTTCATTAACACAATCTTAAAAAGAAAACCCAACACACACACACACACACACACACACACACACACACACACACACACACAGCAGCAGGATATGGTTCCAAGACAGCCAAAATGGTGGCTTCCTGTTTCTTTAGGGATGGTGTTTGGGAGCATGGCTTTGGACAGGGTATTGTCGGGGAGTGGGCTACCTTCTGCTTAATTCTAGGAGAAAAAGGAAACAGGGATTGCTGGTTGGCAGGCGGGCCAAGTGCCAAGTGAGCTGGGACAGTTGGTTCTCCTGCAAACGCATCTCCAAGAGAACTTCTGCCTTCCCGGTGGATGGAGTTGGGAATCCCGGACAGGACGGGTTCTAGGCGCCGCCCATCTTTGGTCTGGCTTTCTGATCGTTAAATGGCACTCTTTGGAAGCGTCGCTAAGATTTTCCTTTCCAACACAATCTGATTTCCCGGAATCCCTGGACTGGCTCTCAGAGCCGGGGCACGCGGGATGCGGCTGCGGATGGCCGGTGAGGTGCAGCCCCTGGGCGTCAGCCCTAGGGGAGCCCCGGGCCAGCGCTGCAGAGAGTGGGGCGCCGCGGGGGGTGGGGGACACTCGGCCTCCTTGATCCCATCCGCAGTATGGGCTCCAACCTTGGGGTCTGGAGCAGAGACGGGTGCGCCGGGTGGACACTGACCGGCCAGGCACATTGTGGAGAGCGCTCTGGAAGGCCGGGTGGCCAGGCGGGGCCACTGAAAGGCGAGCGAGGACTTGTCGGGGACCCCAAGAAAAGGAAGTGAGGATTTGGGGGCGCGAGCAGGGCGCTGTGGCGAAAGGGGTGTCCTGCTGGGTTTCCGAGGGGACCCTCCCTCTGGGGGGTGCGGGGAACAGGGCCAGGGCGCTGCCCCGCCGAGGCTGAGGGCGTCCCTGAGGCGGGGCGCCTTGGACAGGGGACCCCATTCTCAGCCTGCGGGCGAGGGGCCTCGGAGCCGCCCATACCTCGCCCGGGCAGCGCGGCTCGCTCCGGACCCGCGGGCTCCAACTTGGAGGCCGGGCCGGGACCCCCGCGGCTCCTACCTGCTCTGTTCATCTTCCAGCGCGCGGAGCCCGAGGCCGCGGGGCGCTAGCTGCGTCGGGGCGTCCGTCGGTCCAGCGCGAGTCCGCCGCCAGCCGCCTCACTCCATGGCCCCGCGGGACCCGCACCCCCGGCGCCCTTCCCGCCCCGCCCCGGGCGCAGGACTCGGCGCGGCGCGCAGGGCAAGTGGGGCGCGGGGCGCGAGGCTCGGGCTGGGCGGGCGGGGCCGGCGCGCGGCGGAGGGGCGCGGGCGCGGCGCGGCGCGGCGTGGCGTCCACTCGGGAGTCCGCGCGGCGCGATCCTCGGGGTCGCAAGGGGACAGTGCGAGGGGCGATGGCCAGGCAGCGCGGCGTCGCGTCCGCTTCGGCTCGGGCTCCGCGCGGGCCCCGCGCTCCGGCCGCCGCGCCCCCGCCCCTCCTAGACGTTTCCTCTGCTCGCCTCGCCTCGCAGAGAGGAAGGCTTTTTTTTTTTCCTCTCTCTCTTTCTTTCTCTCTCTCTTTTCTTTTTTCCTTTTTTCTGCGCTGTCAGGGGACCGAGGGAGCCGATCGCCCAGGCGTCCCTGAGCACATTTAAAGGCCCCAGGCGGGGCTGGGTCGTGGGTATTTGGGGAGCCCCGCAAGGTTTAAGGGACCACCACTCAGCGAGTTGGGCTTTTGGGAACTTTCTGGTCCCTTCCCCCAACGGACCCTCTGTCCCTTTATTTTCACTTCTGGGCATCCACGCAGTCTCGCACCAGGCGCTGCGCCGCACATGGAACAAGATAGCCCCAAGTTTTTGCGCTTATGGGGCTTCGATAGGAGGGGGTCGTGGGGGACACGAGACAAGTAGGCAGTAGATACCATGTCAATGGCTAAGCACCTTGAGTGACAGAAGCCAGGACATAGCAGGGCTCTCCAAGGGTGCTGGAACCTCACAGAAGTGTGAAAGGCCAGTTCTCAGGACCCTGATAGTCTTGCTACCTGAGATCCATGGTGGAGCATAGAGAAACCTGTGGCCTCAGGAGACCCCAGTGGAGAGTGGTCAGCCAAGGGAGAGGCATCCAGGTAAAAGGAATCCCTTGGGCAGACTTAGAGGTGTGAACGGGCATGACTTTATTGGAGGAGGACCATTGAGGATTTTGGCTTGGCCTAGGGTGAACCTCAGTTTCCCCAAAATTGGGAATCAATTCTGATCCTTTCAAGTAACTTCTGCATCTCTGAGTCACCACACCACAGTCCTAAGCACCAGGCTTCTGTGGAGAAATACTTGTGATTCTGGAGTAGAAAACCTTTGGCTTCGTTTTGTGTAACTTATCTAAGCTTTTAGTAAACTTTATGGAACCATGCATGGGGGTATGGCAGAGCTGGTGATGGAAGTGATGATGGCCGAGGTGATGATGGCAGAAGTGTTGTCGAAGGTGGGAGAGATGGTATTGGAGGTGAAGGAGGTGGAGGTGGAAGAGGGAAATGGAGAGTGGAAATGGAGGGGGTAGAGGTAGTGGCCATGGTGCAGCTAGTATAGGTAAGAGAAGGTAATGGGACAGGAGAGGTGGTGGAGGTAGTTGTAGAAGTCATGGCAAAGATGGAAGACGTACTGATGGTGATGGGAGAGCTGGGAGATTAGATTTGATGGGGGAGGTGGTGGGCTTGAAAGAGATGAAGGAGATGGTGATGGTAGAGGTGGTAGAGGTAATGGAGTCAATGGTAGAGAAGGTGGGAGAGGTGTAGAGGTTTCAGTGTAGTTACAAATGAGTATGTAGATGAATCACTTCAATATTTGATATAAAAGTAAATATGTTTTGGCCAGGTTTAGTGCCTCACACTTGTAATCCCATTTACATGGGAAATGGAGATGGAAGGATGTCATTTTTAGGCCAGCCCAGGCAAAAAAGTTAACAATACCGTATCTCAAAAAACAAGCCTGGTGGGACATGTGATCCCAGCTATGCAGGTGGTGAAGGTAAGAGGATCTCAGTCCAAGGCAAAAACACCTGAAAAATAAACTTAAAAGAAAACATGTTTTTGAAAAGTATGCTTTGCGAAATTAGCAATGAAAACCAAATAACCTCAGGGTAGGAGCAGATTCCATCAGCCACCAGAGGCTTGTGCAAAGGAGAGGGAGGACAGGAAAGACCTCAGGGTTAAGCTGAGCCTTGCTGCTACTGCTGAGGTGGGATTCAAGGCTAAGCACAGTCTCCCTAAGGAGATCACAGCATCAGAGCCAGCTGGGAAAAAACACAGGTCGGAACCTGGTTGGCTAAGCCACAGGATGGTGTGCCGCAATGGGCTGTGAGATGACACTCTTATTCCCTTGTTTTTCCTAATGAGAGCGATTGGCTGGCTTTATACATAGCGGCGCCAACTCTGATGATCCGATTTATGGAACCAAACCACAGCCCCTCACTAGATTCAGAGGGTGACTGTAAACACCCACAAAGGACAAGACTGTGCAGGGGGAATGACCATCGTGGCTACTGTTTTGAGCTTTAACACATGCATTCTTTCCAAGAGTCCGATAAAGCAGTTACTATGTTTCCATTTCACAGATCCCTAACCCACGCCCTTACAGCCCAGTCAGGACTCACATCCCATGCATCCATTGACCACTCCTAGGATGACTGCAGTCTCTTGCTTTGCCTTGTGAGGGCAAGAGCCTGTCCCCTGCTTTTTTGTGGCATGGTGGGGACCACAACATCTTTAAGGCAGATACCCAGCCTGGGTAGGGTGCTCAGCCTCTTTCCTTTCCTCTCCCTCTCTTTCATCTCACCTAGGCGATCAGAGCAGCCAGCAGCTAGCAGCAGCCCACTTCTGCCACAGCTTGGACGGGGTGACCAAAGACCGGCACCACAGCTCTGAAGCATCCAAGGAACACCCAGGTGAGAGCCTCTGAGCCTGGAGGATTTGGCACAGAGGAAACTTGGATGTCCAGCACATTGCCATATGAGGAGACTATGCCAATAAGTGACAAAAATAACAAATGCTGATGGCTGCTGTCTCCTGAGCACCTCCTCTGTGCTCAGCCCTTCTCATACTTCTCAGGACAATATAAAGTGATTTTTTTTTTTTTAAGTACTAGAGTTTGAACGCAGAGCCTCATGCTTGCTAGGCAGATGCCCTACCACAGGAGCCAAACCTCCAGCCCTTTTGTTTCACTTATTTTTTATGTATAGTGTTAGGTTTCTGGACCAAGATCCTCCAACCTGTGCCTCCCTCGTAGCTGGGATGACAGGAACATGCCATCACACTCAGCTTTATTGGATGAAGATGGGGTCTCACTAACTTTTTCCTGGGCTGGCCTCCAACTTTCCCATTTCTTCCCCTCCCAAGTGGCTGGGATTACAGATGTGAGCCATACTCACCCGTTCTCCATTTTACTGATGAGAACATCAGGGGTCAGTGGGGTGAGACACTTTCTCAAGACTCAGAGCTAGTGGTGGGGCTGGGCCTGGGCCAGTGTGTCTCTGAGGCCTTTGCTCATCACTGTGGCAGAAATGGGACCAGAATCTTAGGCATTGCTCCTCCCTCCCTTCCTTCTGTAAACATGCACTGAGAACCTACTGTGTGCCCAGCACTGGGTCAGGTACCAGGCCATGCCCACCCCATGCCTACCTGAGCTCCAGTCTGGCCAAGGCAGCAGGCCACTCACACTCAGTGAGTGATACAGCAGTAACAGGGACGCAGAGGCCCCCACTCCCCACAAGTGGGTGTCCCTATCCAGCACCCCTCAGCTGCCTTCAGACCCTGTGATGAACTGTGATGGGCTCCCTGGGGCTTCTGAAGCCAGTCAGTCACCCCTAAGACCCCCTACCAGGAACATCCCTCTGCCTACCGAAGTCCCTCCCCACTTCTCATTCAGCACCATAGTGTGCTTTCTCCAGTCTTCAGAGGACAGATGGATGCTCATGACGTCCCTGGGCACAGTCAGGCTTGTGCCAAGCTCAGATCCAAAACGCTGGAATTACCTGGAGCCTGCAAAGTGCTTAGGCCATGCCCTCCAGAGGCAAGCAAGCACCCAGGCTGGGCACTCACCAGCAAGTACCCATGCCAAGTTATCCAGACACCATGTTAACCTGGGGTGACCCTGGGCCACCCACTTAGCCTCAGTTTCCCTACTTGCAAATCATAATAGCTAATATTTGCGGAGTGCTTATTTTGTGTACTCCATAATTGTTTTGTACAAATTCATTCAATTCTATCCAAAAACCCATGAGATAAACGTCGTTATTGTCCCTTGTTATACATGAGGCGACCACAGCACAGAGAGGCTAAGGCACTTGCCCAGGGACACACTGCTGGTACGTGGTGGGATTTGGACACTGGTTCTGTGGCTGGCTTTCACACCTGCTTCAGCACCCTGACCCCTCCCCCCACCGAGTGCTCAATGAATGGACATCATCATTTGAATGTCTAGTACATGGTTGGTGCTCAATAAATAAGTGTTGCAACTAAGCTCACCAAGAACTGAGACATGGGACTTCATCTTCAAGCAGGGAAGGGATAAAAAGAGCACTTATTGAGCACCCCCTGCATACTAGGAAGGGTAGGGGATGGGGGAAGTTTAAAGGGCCATGTGGGAGCCCAGCAGGAGACAGACCTGGCCTAAGCTCTGCTTCCTGCCCCAGCTGGGAAGACAGTGACAACCAGCTTTGTTTCCTGCCAAGACACAACCCTCCCCTCCACTCCCACTTCTGTGGCAGGCCCTCTGTGCTTCCCACTTTCCTTTGTCACCGGGGACAAAGTCTCCGAAAAGGGAAGTCCCCCTGGCCTGCTGTGCTGCCCTGTAGTGCTATGGCATCATCACAGAGTGGCCGTCCTGGCTCCAAGGAGGACAAAGCTAAGCACTGTCTCTCTGGGACAGAGCCTAGGCCAGGTGCCCTTCGTTTCCTTGGTGGGGACATCACATTGGTTTGGCTGGGGCACCCCCACGCTCATGCTCCAGAGACCCCTCACCCCACCAGGCTCTGGCTGTGAGGCCTTGAACAAGACGCCTTCTCTGCACCTCAGTTTTCTCCTCTGTAAATGGGGGATAAGGAGATCTCTCTGGGCAGAAGCATCGAATTGCTCACTGACCACCGCGTGGTCAGACAGGAGGGCTAGGGGTCAGCTGGTGACTCAGTGGGCTGGGATGAAGCAGCAGACCGAGAGCTGGAGGGTGCAGGTGACTTTGGGCTGGGCTTTAAGG